TCTGATTTGCATAAAAAAATTTACCTGCAGTCATTGTCACCTATCATAGTGGTGCAACCATTTCATCTTCACCTATTAAAACCACGCGTTTTAGCAGGCATTGTAGCATCACAGAGTGTACTGTAACGTGCTAGTTACTGTTTGTGTCTACAGGCGACAGTTACCACTTTCCACCAGTTAGCCGTTAGCTTATTCGTCATTCTAAATAACATAAAAAAAAAAATAAAAAAAAATAACCATTATGTCCGCTTTTGTGTTGAACAGTAAACACTCAATTATACTGTTACTTCACAGTTGTATGTGGCAATGTTATATTCACTGCACAGTACACATGTAGGACAGATGGTACCCAACAGCCCATAAAGAGACATTGCATCAAGTAATAATGAAAATACTAAATGCCAAACTATCATAATATGCCAATCAACCTTGCCTCCAATTAAAATAACTGATGAAATACCTCAATAAAAATAAGTCTATGCAACCATCAAGAAGTGCCAACATAATAAAATAAAATCACTACAACTGTAATATGCCTCCGTTTAAAATATCAATATTACGAGTATAAAAGACTTAACACCTTTATAGTGGAGGCCTATCTCCCCCCCCCCCCCCATTATAAAGTTGATTGATTGTTAGTAATACGGACTACCTTTCCTATTGCTAGCAATATACCCTATCAGGTCGACTTCCACGTGATCGTGAGCCGAATTTCTGGCTAACTGCCTGCTTTTTCATGTCACCTACATATAATCCCTCACTGGTACCCCGCCTGGGTATGTCGTTAGTGCAGACGGGATTATCATTCCTTTGTCACCCATTAAAAAACACTTTATAGTGTAAAATTTTTTAAATTCAATGAACTGGTTATATAAGATCTTATGTTCATATAGAGTCGTTTTTTTTTCGAAGTGACTCGGATCTGATGCAAAATGTCAAATGTCTATTGTTTATTATTTTTTTAATTTTATATTTTTTATGTTTTAGTTTATACGTTCTAATATTTTTTCCTCTATGTTTCTCCTTATGAAAGAAGGATATTAATCTATTCTTATTGTCGCTGGTTAGGTAGTTTGATATAATAAAGTATTATATGGAATTTTATTTTTCTTAGACTTTTTTTTAATGGAATGGTAACCCCACCCGCGCTATCGGTATACACCGGCGGGGCACCAGTGAAGGATGATAGGTGAGAATGAAGTAGGTCAGTTAGCCCATCGTGACGAATTTAACAAGTTCACGATGGTTTCCAGGCAGAACCACGTGGAGATCGATCTAAAAAGGCATGTTGCTAGCAATGGGGCTGTCAAACTCCATTGGTAACGATCCCTTTCCCCCCTTTTTCTTAGACTAGTAATTTTTACATTGTTTCCTTAGCCGCCTTTTTTTATATTCTGTAAGCCTGTACTGTAAATCCTTATTCTGATACGATCTACTAGCTGTATCCCGCTGCTTTACCCCTGTTAATTAGTATTTAAGTATCCTATGTTATAATCTACTCGTGTACCAAATTTCGTATAAATCTGTTTACTATACTTTTTGCCGTGTAGGTCCCGACAGACCAATTTCAATGCCAACCATTTTCTTTCCCGCGGGTGTCATAAGAGACGACTATGGGAGCTTATAGTCAAGGGATAGGCAGCAGCGTCCCTCTTAATACATTACCAAAAGCCAAACTGTTGTGCCAACCCGCCTGCCAAGCTTGGCAACTACAAAAACCTTTATGGGGAGGCTATATTAAGCAGTGTACAGTTAAATGGTGATACAAAAATTATACTTTTTACTGTAGTGATTACTTGCTCTGTGCTTTTTGCGTGAAAGAGTAAAAAAAACATGCGTCAATCTATCCAAACCTTCACGTTTATAATATTAATTCGTAATATTTAATATCATAGAATTTTATTCGTGAAATAATAATAAATATTTACAAGGTACTTTTGTCTTTACGACGGCACATTTTGAAAAGATAAAAACATGTGCTTTCACATATTTTAGTAGAATTTCTTTTGATTATTATATACAATTTGTGTTGTATTATTGAGTCAATAGCCGATTTATGAGTATCGCTTTCAATCACACAATGCATTCTGTACATAAATATTTAATGTTTGTTTAACGGCCTATTAAAAGATTCGTCGATATTTCATTCTTTATGGCCAAACAGAATTAATTTTATAGCTCTATTTCTGTCTTTGGAAGTATCTAATTATTTATTGGTATAAAATTTAACGTTTATTATAAGTAAGTATAGATCGCCTACCAAGTGTGGTAACTAGTGTCCGACCGAAACAGGTTTTACAGCCGAAACCGAACTTTCGGCCTTGGTCTCAGTTTCGGACAAAACCGAAACTTACTGGGACATATTTGAAATTTCACTTTTATACTGAAATCCAGTGTATTATGTAAATAAACACACAGATAGTTAAAGAGTAATAATAAACACTAATTAAAATGTGTAACAAATATGTCATATATATTTATATGTAAAAACATGTTAAAATTATGAATTACTCTTGGAAGTAAACTTTAAAAAAAACAACTTTCAATTAAACACACACAACACCAATATAAACACAAAATTTTGGTGCGGTCGAAATTTCGGTAATTTTTTTAACCGAAACCGAAACTAATTCCGAAAGTAGAATTTCTAGCCGAAACCGAAACTTCGGTCGGACACTAGTGGTAACTACTGGCAAAGCCCTTCAAAGGGAGGACTACGTTCGGCAATGGACAGTTAACGAAATAATGAAGAAATGATAGGTAGGTATATAATTCAGTTGAAATAAAGCCATATAAAAAAGCATTTTCTTTATTCTTTATTAGCTATTTGCCAGCTATTTCGTATGCGTGGATTTTTTTTTATATACAACTTAGAATGGCAAACAAGCTGACGGTCCACCTGATGGAAAGTGGTAACCTTCGCCTATAGACATGAGCAGTACCATGGACATAACAGAGTATACTGTTTCGCCCATGATACCCCCCATGCGTTGACATTCCTGAAGACTCAGGTGTTATTCCTCTGTACCCAGTAAATTCACGCCATATCCCACCCTTCAAACCGAAACACCGCCATGCAAACACAACTGCTTCACGGTTGAAATACGAATGGGACAGAGGTACCCAAGCAATCGACTTTTGTACAAAGTCAATAAAGCAGACTACTTCACCAAAGTAGTATCAAGGTAAAACATACACCATTTTAAGAAAGATTTTCAGGAACACAACAATGAAAACCGTATACGATTTGGTGTAGTAGTTTTTAATAGATAGACAGACAGACAATATTTCTAAAAAAAAATACTGTATTGACACCTGTTGGTCTTATTAAGACCCCATTTTCTCTTTAGAAGAGATATTACTATTCAACCAACTTCCAAAAGAAGGAATTTTTCAATTTAGGTGTAGTTTTTTTTATGTTTTTTACCTCATCTCTGTCACTTATAAATTAATTTCCAACATCTCATTTATCTCAACAATAAAAAAAAAATTTGTCATTATAATCTGTCGCATTCAAAGCTATGTTTAAATATTCATAGATAGGTACTATTCGCATTTCTTGATTTCATTATCGTGGTGGCATCTAATGGTAATTAATGGGATTAGTAATGCGAATTACCAGTCCTATTGCTAACAATATACCCAACCAGGTCGATCTCCCCGCTATTCCCCCTGGAAACCACCGTGGTTAATTCTAGAATAATTCGTCGCGATGGGCTAACTGACCTGCTTTCATCATCACCCATCATCCCTCACTGATGCTACGCCAGCGTATACCGATACCGCAGACGGGGTTACCATTCCATTATCACCCATTAAAAAAAATACTTATTCGCATTTCATGATTTCTTTATCGTAGTGGCATCAAACGATAATTGATAGAGCGTCAGGGTTCTCAACATAAAAAAAATTACCCTATATTCAAGGTAAGAATATGTAGAGGAGGCTCTTTATTTTAATCCAATAAAAAAATTTGCTCATGAGACTATAATTTCTAATGATGCATTCGGAAGCTTTTGTTCCGGTTACATTATTTACATCCATGTTAGAATAAGGTCTAATCTTGGATAAATAGTTAAATATATAAGAAATAAATTCAATTTTTATTTATAACAATGTTCTTGTTCAATGATAAAAAATATAATCTATCTATGATATACATACCTTACATCTAAGTACTATAAATATCAATAACAAGACCTTAAAGAATTATTTAAAGATAAATAATTTCTTTGAGATCATTGCCAACTGATAGGGTACCTAGGAGACTTACTGCATTTCCATGCTGAATGGCTATGGAAATGCGTTGATCAAAGTATAGGCCAGCCTTCTGGCCGTCAAAGGTTTCCATCAACCGACATGATATCTCGAAGTAATTAATTTTTAATTAAGAATTACAATCAACAAAAGATTATGCTTTTTGTAGACAGTATACATTCAGAAAATATTATAGATTAGACAGATGGAATCTATGAACTGTCATTGTTAGCATTCATATAACAATTATAAAAAAAAAGTTATGTTCAATATTTGTGTTCTTAAACCACAGCTCAAGAACTCAGTCTAAATAAGATTGATACATGATAATTGTAATAGCAAATCAATCAAATTTATGTTCTTTGATGGAAGAATTTTAGGTAATATATTTCAGAGTTTAAGCATTTGTAAACGACATGCATATATAATAATTATATAATATACTATTATAGATGCCTAATGGTATTTTATAGTACGAAGATAATGGTACGCTTAGTATACAATTAGATGATATTTTATGTCACTTGGTATTGTGATCATTTATTTTATTTTATTTTATTTATTAGAAAAATGTAATACATAAAACTAACAAAAGTCTGTGATTGGGCTACAGTTACAGTTACAATTATTAATTAATCTTTATTATAATCTTTAAGTTTAAATTTGGGAAAAATAATGATCGTGTCTGTCAACATTAGATGGCAAAGTGCATTGAATGTATCTAGAGCCGTAAACATATTAATAAAAAAAAGTGACATTGACATTTTTGACAACTGAATGTATTAGGTGTTTTTGTTTCACCTATTTTCTTTCTAATTCGATTTAATTCAGTTTTAAATTTTCTGAAGTACGTATTTTATTCCAGCCTGTGACTTGTAGAGTAAAATTTTGATTGAAAACTTTGTGGAGAGTTCAAGTGAGTAATGCGTATTTAACTCAAAATAAACATGGATGATTATACAAAAATCAAGAGCATAAAAGCTCCGGATGTCGCCGTGAGCGCTGTGTTAGTACCAAGCCAAGATTTACCTGCCGAGACACCCACAGTCTCAGGATATGACTGGGAAAATGGTACTGATTACAACAAAATACTCGAAAGCTATACCTACTCTGGTTTCCAAGCTACCAGCTTCGGGAAAGCTGTGCAGGAGATAAATAGAATGCTCAAATGTAGATCTGTCGCTCTAACCGAAGAAACAAGTGACCCGTACGAAGAAGATGCTTTTATTAAGAAAAAAACTAACTGTACTATATTTCTGGGGTATACTTCGAATATGATATCGTCTGGTTTACGCGATACAATTCTGTTTTTGGTAAAAAACAAGCTTGTTGATTGTATAGTGACAACAGCAGGTGGCGTGGAAGAGGATTTTATAAAATGTCTTGCACCCACATACATAGGAGACTTTAATTTGAGCGGGAAAATGCTCAGGACTCGTGGCATTAATCGAATTGGCAATTTATTGGTACCAAATGATAATTACTGTCGTTTTGAGGAGTGGGTGACTCCTTTACTCGATGAGATGCTCAATGAGCAGATAAATGAAGGCACTGTTTGGACACCGTCAAGGATAATAGCTCGTTTAGGGGAGAAAATCAACAATGAGAGTTCCGTTTGTTACTGGGCATGGAGAAACAATATTCCCATATTTAGTCCAGCTTTAACAGATGGCTCTCTAGGTGATATGATGTATTTCCACTCATACAAACGTCCCGGACTGATTATAGACATATTAGGAGATTTACGTAGACTAAACACAATGGCTGTTAAAGCAAATAATACAGGAATGATCATATTGGGGGGTGGAGTTATAAAACATCATATTTGTAATGCAAATTTAATGAGAAATGGTGCCGATTTTTCTGTATATGTTAACACAGCTAATGAATTTGATGGCAGTGATGCTGGCGCCCGACCAGATGAAGCAGTCTCTTGGGGAAAGATTAGAACAAATGCAACTCCAGTGAAATTGTATGCTGATGCGACCTTAGTATTTCCTTTGCTTGTAGCCCAAACATTTGCTAAATACCATTTTAGTAATAAAAAAAATGTATAAAATTGTATAATTTATTTACTACTTCATTAATATATTTAATGATTATGTTACTGTGTATTTATAAATTTATCCCAAATAAACTTAGACTGACATAACTGGACGCTCCATCTGTCGGCAAGTAGTTAAAACCACTAAATTGAAGCGACACCTTTATAAATATTAAGTAACTAATTTGGTCGTTCAGAAATTAACGCCAAATAATATTGTAATTTATAATAATATAAATAAGTAATAAAGAATAACCCAAAATACTTTTCTTAAATTATTTTCGTATATATTTAACAACTTTTAGTCTATTATCTTAAACTGTAGAAAATCTGTATCAAAATTAGTAGATTACCCTATCAGCCTTCTTGATTTTTAAACGACATCGGTGAATGAACTGTCAAATACGTAATGAAGTTAGCCACTGTCTGGATTCCATAAAAGTGCGTTAGTGTACATCTGTGTAACCCAATGTTTTCCGTGTGTGCAATAAGGGCACGACGGCCGCGGCGGACTGGATAACGAAAGCTCTTGCTTTGCCTACCTTGTAGTCTCGTATTTATTGTGCCATTGAACGCCGGCGAAAACTGTTTACAAATCCGATTGTCTGTTATAATAATGCAATATCGCGTATCTTCGAGTGTTCTTAATTGAAAATGGACCGACAGGATTTGAATATTGAATTTTAACGTTTACTAGTGGTGGTTACAGTGAGAAAAGTGCAAAATGTGCTTGTTCCGCGGCACATTGTTTTTGTTCCTCGTGATTACTGTATCCGGTGAGTCCTTTTAGTCCTGCCGTCTATTTATAGGTTTTTACGGTCATTCGGCGCAGATATTACTTGTATTCCGCCGGCGGTGTTTCTTCATTACAGCACTTTGATCTCTACAGACTGGAAAGAAAATAAAACAAAACTGGATGCTTTGATGTTTTATTTAACAAGAATATGCTTCTAAGTACATTCGTTTCGGTGTTTCTATGCCTACTGACTTGGATTTCCGGCGATTTAAAAATAATTAAATCAAATTTAATTCTATTTAGTATTTGTTTGATCTTCATAATTCGTGTACGCCTTGAATACATATATGTGAAATTAGAAGAGAATTTGTTCCAATAAGCATCACAATATATAATAATAATTATTTTATTTATATATGATATATTTTTTTAACAGCAGTAGAACAGTTTCTTCCACAATGGAAAAAGCAAAGAAACCAAACCATACAGCTTGATCTGTGAATTTTTATATCAGCTAAGTGACCTATGTTAGTAGAAAAAAAAATTGTTTTACTAGGCAAAGAACACATTCCTATTCTTCCCATTTCAAATCTGCATCTCCCCTCTTAATTATTTTAAGTTATCAAATCAAATAAAATCTTAGAATTCACTAGAAAAATATTTTGAAGCCACATGACTATAAAATCACTAGCTTTTACCTGCAACTTTATCAGAATGGTCAGGATATGTTCACTGACCAGGATATAATGTACCCTATATCCTTCTCCATCCCATATATTATGTGTATACCAAATTTTATAATATTTCCTTAAGCTGTTAAAACTATAAGGTAACAATTAAACAAATTGAAACTTGAAATCTAAAATTTGTTCATTTACTCATTGTAATGTTTAAATTTATTTTATGTGAAATGAACAAATTTTATTACTTTGTAGCATTGTCATTTTTCATTCCTACATTGAGTCAAATTAGCAATTTTTATTTTGATTTTTTTTATTGCTAAATAGGTTTTTTTTTTAAGTGCCAATTGCATCAATTACCTGGCTATCAAAATAATACCCTGTATTTTGAGGAACCAGGTAATTTTAATAACACCTGAGTCCTCAGGAATGGCAATGCCTCCCATCATCATGGGCGAAAGAGTATGCTCTGTTATGCCCATGGTACTGCTCATGTCTATAGGCAACGGTTACCACTTTCCATCAGGTGGACCGTCAGCTTGTTTGCCATTCTAAGTTGCATAAAAAAAATATCTGAGTGCACATTCCTGAACACCCAAATTCGAGGCTGTTCAGAAAACATTTCCTAAATATCTCTCATTGGAAATTGAACCTGGAACCTCATTAAGGCAAAGTGATGCATACACCACATATTATAAACTATTATTGCATATTCTGTTTCTATTTTTAACTGTGTTAATGTAGTAAACTGTTAAATAATGGATTAATTAAATATTATGTCCCACAAAAATTGACTTCAATTGTGACAAATCTGGTTCTTTTGATTTAGAAACTAAATTACTAAACCGATTTTGATAAAATTTCTATGGGACCAATCTATGAGTATACGAGTACACTTACTGTTATATATCAAATGAGGAATAGCACAAATTAATCATGACTTTTTATTGTAAATCAAGTATTACAACTGATGACAGACTATGTATATAACCTTACATAATAATAGCTTTTTCCATAAAAAGTTATAACAATGAGGAAGGTTCTAGAAAAATACTGACACATTGAAATATTGATATAGAATGCTTACAGAATAAAAACATTTTTTTCAAATCAGTTTACGAATTGACAAAATTCTAGACCTAACATTCAGACATTCCCTATGAGGCTGGCATAGTCACCCACGTGTACTGAAGCCTCAACAAAGATATAGAATAAAAAAAGAATTCTTGTTAACAGGCTTTTCACTTTATCTGATAAGGACATACCAATATATTCATATTAAAACTACACTGTACTCTCTGTAGTATGGTGGATAACAGGCCATTAAATGTATAGAAAAAAAAATTATTAAAACATAATTTGCATTAATATTTTTTTTTCTATTATTATTATTATTTAGTAACACAAGCTTCTTGGAAGTCTATTACAGAGATAAATATATTTTATGATGTATATTGATCTGATCATTTCCCTATTCAAATAATTTGTAACATAAATATCAATCAAAAATAACAATAAACCTCTGTTGAATCCCATTATCTCTCTTTTTAAGATTTTTTTTACCATGTTCTATCTTCATCTTCCCGTGTCACTCTCTCCTGATGTATTTATATGTGTGTGTGTGTGTGTGTGTGTATATATACACATATATATGTACACATGTCCTCCATCGATGAGGCCGCCTTTTGTATCATTTCTTATTACAGTTAAATGTATTTACTATTCTATAAATGGTGCAATAAAGTGTAAATAAATAAATGAAAAATTTATCACCATCAGCTATTAATTCTCCACTGCTGGACCTAGACTCTCTCCATATAGGGGGTTTACCAGTAGCTGCCACGTTTGGCAATTGCAGTTAGGGTTTGGTGATGTTTTAAAAAGGATTTTCAACCGACTTCAAAAAGAAGGAGATTCTCATTTAGGTTGTATTTTTTATGTTTGTTACCTCATAAAAACCGATATGGATGATTATTTTTTTATTTGAAACGACATACTTACAGATTGGTCACATAGAAATTTTATCAAAATCGGTTCAGTGATTTAGTTTTTACATCAAAATAATTAATCTTGTCACAATTAAAGTCATTTTTCTATGAAATAGAAATTCTGAATTTTCAGACTCAATTTCTTGTTTTTGTCCATACGGAAATTCTCCCAGTAAATGAAGTTTTTTTTTTTTTTTAAATAATGATCATTGATTGTTAACCTCGCCTGTGCTATCGGCATACGCTGGCGGAGCACCAGTGAGGGGTTATAGGTAAAAATGAAAAGGCAGGTCAATTAGCCCATCGTGATGAATACACCAGAAATTCAGCACGGCGATTTCCAGGAAACACCATGTGAAGGTCGACCTTGTAGGGCATATTGCTAGCAATGGGACTGATAGTCCGCATGACTAATCTCCCCCCCCCCCCCCCCCACCCCCTCCAGTAAATGAAGCTTAACATTTCGTTCGTCATCGATCCCACCATGAAAGTTCAAAGGAATTATATTTTAATATTTTTAAACGTTATGTATTATGTACTTTTCAAATCAAATCATTTCTTGCACGAATATGGGGTACATACATTAGGTGAAAATATTTTTTACATTCTACCATATCGGCATGTACAATACAAAATTAAACTAAGTTTTTGTTTAACAATAACTTATAACAATATAAAACAATGTCAGTAATATAATATTAAAAATAATAATAATCCAATTGATAAATGATTTAATAATAAATTTGTGTTTTTTTCGTTCGTTCGTCCCCGAAATTTCGTAAAACATTTTCTATGTTAGGTCCTTAGACTATATACGTAAATACGTTCAGTGTAATATTTAAAAGGCATTCAGAAAATGCAGAAGTGCATTCTGTGAACACACTGCTATTGTAACATGATCACACTCGCCACTGTTAGGTGCAGCTGAGTCATAACATTGAACAATGTACACACATACATACGTACAATAACACAAGAACGGTGATATTGTTCTACATTTACGTTCGTTTAGTTGCTTAATTAGCTTATGTTTTTTTTTTTATGGGTGAAAATGGTATGGTAACCCCGCCTGCGCTAACGGGATACGCTGGCGGATGGGATACTCTGTTATGTCCGTGCTACTGCTCATGTCTATAGGCGACGGTTATCACTTTCCATCAGATTGGCCGTCAGCTTGTTTGCCATTATAAGTTGTATAAAAAATAAATTGTTATTTAGTTAATAAATTAGTTCTTAAAAAACTCTTGTTTCTTGTATTTAATAATATAAAGCTAATATGATAATTATGGTTACCTAATGACTTAACGAACCGTCATGATATTTAGCTAACGGCTGATATGGGTAATTCTATGTTTTAAGTTATATATAACCTATTTTGGTACCTAAAGTACATATCTATTTATTGGATGAAAATGGAATGGTAATCCCGCCCGCGCTAACGGGATACGCTGGCGGGGCACCAGTGAAGGGTGATAGATGAGAATGAAAACAGGCCAGTTAGCCCATCATGATGAATTCATCAGGAATTAACCATGACAGTTTCCAGGGGGAACCGCGAGGAGGTCGACCTGGTTGGGTATATTGCCAGCAATGGGATTCTCAGTCTCCATTACTAACAATCCCTTTCCCCCCAAAGTACATATTTATTTGATCATATTATATATATTTGATTCAAATCCGTTCAGTAAGATATCGTCATAGTTGTAGAATACTGACGGATCTTTATATTTAATCTTTGTCAGATCCGTCAGTATTCTACGACTGTGACGATATGTTTGAAAGAGCAACAAACATCCGTCCATACAAAAATCCGCACAAACTTTCCAATTTATGATAATAGCAGGAATTTGAAGAATGTTTATGATATTGCACTTGTTCGAAGCCGGGTCGAGTCGTTAGCAAAATTATTAGTTTTATGCACCGGGACAAAAAGTGGCCTTCGTCCTTCTCCGGCCCAAATACTATCCAATTTAGTGACAATTGGTCGAGCTGTTAAATAGTCAGAAGGCAACAAACAAACACTCATTTTTGACTGACTTCAAAAGAAGGCGATTCTCACACAATTTTGTTGTTGTTTTTTTTTTTTACCTTATGTTTGCTACTCCGTCAGTTGTAATTGCCGATTTGGAAAGTTCTTTTTTTTATCTGAAACGATATGTCTACAGACCGATTACAGGGCGCATAGAATTTTTATCTAAATGGCTTCGGTTGTTTGGTTTTTAAATTATGAAATTTACACCCGTTATTCTCGTGAACGGGTGCTGGCTGCAGACTGGTCTGCTCTGATCACTGCAACTGATTGTTTTTTTGACAACTGAGTTTCTTGCCTGATCCTTCCGGCTGGAATTGTGTTCCGAATGGGCGGTAATGAT